CTTCTTCTTCAGGCAGTCCTTTGACATGTGGCCTTTCTGTCCACAGTTAAAGCATTTTCCCTCTTTCTTTAATTGGTCAATATTCATAGGCTTGTCAGCTCCAGTGTATGTGGTTCCTGTTTCTGTCTTCTGAGTCCCATAGAAGGGCACACAAGTCATCGATGATCTGGTCTTGGTAGTACTGGATTGACTGTTGGCCCTCTGATTAGAAGTTGTCAGCTGTTTCCAATACTCCTGCAAATTTGCCTGCTTCACCTTCTGTCACTGCTGTTCCTTGTACATTTCAATAACTCTCTCTTTCCACTCATCATATCTCTTCAGAATAAATTTGCCAATATCAGAGATCATTTTGATGTATGACATGGGTGCCTCCCATTTGAGGGCCTTGATCATTTGTTCATCATCAGCAATATCATCCTGGATTCTGGCAAGCTTGGCAAGCCATTCTAGCTTGTCAAAAGTATTCTGTGGCCACCTTATCACCCATCTGGAATTCCTTGATTTTTGATTTATGGACTTCTTGGATGGCCAGGTTGATGAACTTGTCATTAAGCAGATGCTTAAAGATAGGCCAAGAGGGAAAATAGTGATGCTGACAAGCAGTGGAGTAGAAATTTGGTGAAATTAATATCAACTATGTCTTTATCTTGTCTTCAAAGTATGAGGCCATGAATGCAACTTTGTTTATATCATTTTCTGGGTATGTGATATAGACTTTGAAGTATTGTTCACAGTCTATTAAAACTGGTCAATGACATTCAAAGCACTCTTGAAGGAGCAGGGTTTGCAAAGCAAGTTGAGCTTGCACTGAAGGATGGTGGCATTCTCTGGAAGTGTGCCTATCAGATTGGGCTATTCATTGAAGGGTGGATGCCTCCAGTCAGTTGGTGGGCCAGAGAATGAGTGGAGCAAATTGTCATCAGCCACTGGGCTCCTCTGTGGAAAAGCTTCTTTTTGCATGATTACTCTGTTCCTAATGGTAAAGCCTAACTTTACTGCTTCTGGGTTGTCTCTAACAGGTTCCTTGCCTGTTCTGCTCTCTTCAGCTTCATCAGGTGGGGGCTGCCCATCAAGGAGCTGACTGCTCTTGCCAGTCCAGGTGTTTTTGAAGCTGGTGGATTGAGCAGTCAGCTGTTGTTGGATTTAGGAAAGCTGAACTGCTAATGAGTGAGTCAATGAGGTTGAGTACAAAAGTTGGCTTGTGGTAGTTCAGAGTGATGGGGCCATGTATACAGCCCATTTCAGAGTTACTGATGGTGTCCACAGCATCAGCTTGATATCATATTTGGATATGTATTCAGGCAGTTGACTGAGTTGGTTCTTGGGGTGCCTCCTATTATAAGCTGAAACTGCATGTTTAGTAGCAGAATATTGTAGAATATCCTGCTTTTCAAGATTGTCTATGGAAATATACTTGTGTCCAAGAGACAAGGCCAACCAGACTGTGTCTCACCATAAGGATGCTATCCTGTCACAATATAATTGATGGTACTCCTCCTCTCTTGCTTGCTGAATCTCTTTCAATAGGACTTCTTTGTCCATGTCTTCATTAGCATACTCTCATAGTCATTTCCAGTCAAGAGGGATGTTGTCCCCCACATTGTCCTCATCACTCTCCTTGTCTGCCTCATCTCCACTGTCCCCCATGAGGGAGTCATTGAGCAGGTCATAAGTTGGCAGCACTAGGGGTCAAATTATCACTGGGAAACTGGTTGCTGTTTCCATTGCTGGGTCCTATGACATTAGCTGGAGGAGAAGGCTGGAGGTTGGTGGTTCTGAGGTCAGAGCTGTACCTGTGATCTCCATGTGCTCTTGCCACCTCTAGGTCTCAGCTATAGACATGGAAGTTAGTGTAGAATTGAGGATTGAGAAAGAGTTGTGTGACTCTTCCTTCCAGAAAATGGCAGAGGCCTCAGTCAGGAATGTGGGCATTGAGAACTCAAAGCCCATAGATGTTGAGTACAGAGTCAGCATTTGAGAGGATGGTGTCAGTATTGGTGATGCTGACACTTCAGGGAGGAGAATTGTTTCCCCTCCTTATGGCCTTGCTGGAGGTGACAGGGCTATATAACCCTGCCCAGAGATCTGTTTCAGTTGTGGTGGGGATACTAGGCTCTCAGAAAGGAGAGTGGGACTGTTCTGTTCATAAGTCAGGGGCATGGAAGCTTGAGGTGCCCCACTCAGCAGCCTCAAGCTCTTGCTGTCATCAACAATACTGTGCATCATATAGCTCATCATCATGGAGTGTCTCTCATCAGGCCTGCTTAGCCTCTGCCTAGTCAAGATCTCTGAAGACCTCCTTGCTGGCTGCCTGGATTTCCTCAGCAGTAAAATCTCTGACATTATGCTTGAGCTGATCAGTGACCATTGGTCCCCACCACTTACCTGGGCCTTCTGACCCTGGGTAGAGGTCAATGTACTTGGTTGGAGGTGGACTGGACTCTAAGGTCACATAGAGAGAGTCATGGTCAGAGTGCATGGATGAAATGAGTTCAGATCTTGAAGCCATCCTAGTGGCATTAAGAGAGTCTCTAGCATGGTCTCTAATGCCATGTGCTGAGGGAGAGGGATTGTCAGAGGGTGCATCATTAAAGAAGTTGCTGGGGAGGTTTTTGTTCTCATAGTTTGGGACTGGAGGAAACCCTGGCAAGACCCATGGGTTTTTGAAATCTGTGAGTCAATTGATCTGGTGTTGTCTGTCTGTTCTGGTTGCTGGTCATGGAGGGTATCTGTGCCTCTCCTCTTCTTGTGGAGTGCCCCTCTGATCCATTCTCCTAGGCTCAGCTTGGGGTATGGTTTCAGTTGTGAGTTGATAGGATGCTCAGGGAGAGTTTGGAATGCTGTAGAGGGGGAGGTTGGAGGTGACATTTCAAAGAATATGGTGGATGTGTTAAAATTCTTAGTAGTGCCTGACTGCTCAAGTGGTGACTGATTGGTGTCTCCAACAAAGTTGGATGATCACCAGAAGTCCAAATAGCATTCCAATGATAGAAGCTAAAAGATCAAAGAATTCATAGTCAAAGTTGGGGAATGATAGGTTGATCAAGGACAGTCAGTTTCTTTCATGCTTATTGTGTATGAAGAAAGGGAAGTTCAAGCTTTGAGCTAATTGTTAGACTCAAGCTGCACATGATCATAGACACATGATAAACTGACATCACTTTATGTTTGAGTGTTTCATCAGAGTTCACTTAATATGACTATTGATTGTTATGTGACAAAGCCATTAGAATTGGCTCAAGAGTAGAATAGTGTGATATTAAACTTTAGCTTGAAGCTGGAGTTATACCAGTGAGAGCTGTCCTACTTATATACTACAGTGTGTGCTAAATAAATTCATAGTTATCTATTGTGTCTGTCTACAGTATTGTACTCATTATCCTTGAGCATTGCTACTGTCTACAAAAGAGTGATTGTGTGTCATCAAGTGTCATCATCACATCAAAAGACAATGGCTGATCTGGCTTGTTGTGCTGACTAAGCCAGTCCCACAGTCCTAAGCACTGGAATTGGTGCTCTGACTAAGCATAAATAGGGGCTAAGACCCAATAGAAATGAGAAAAATAGGAAAAATTCTAACATAATCATGGCCAGTCATTAGAACATGTCACCTGCACAATAATGAGAAAATCCCACTAGAGGAATGGCCATCTCTCCCAGCCCTCTGATCCAAGAGTAAGATATTGTTGATGAGCTTATCCACAAGCTCAATGCACACTGCTTTGAGGGGACTTCACCTCACTTTTTCAGGGCAGCATTTGGCAACTCCCACATTTTGAAAAGAGGGTACAAGTATGTTGCTGAGTGGTGATGAGAAGTGGTTAGCAGACCTGGAAGCACACTGTTGATGAGTGAGGAGGGAGCAGATAGCAGACATGCAGTGGATGGCCACTGAGGAAGGAGAGCAGTACATTATCCTGCTGCAACATACTCAAACATTTGTAGACAAGCTATAGGTACATGTGCAAATAGAAGAGACTATCAAGGCCAAGAAGGCAAAGGGGCACACCAAGGTGCCAGACCCCTATGAATCACCATTCCAAATACTATACTGGCCACCTTCAGCTGTAGGAAGTTAACATATTTTGGGGAGCCAGAGTCATCCTCCTGAGCATTGTGAGTCACAACATGAGGCAGTATATTCATTATTTGGTGTTTTCACCCAGTATTTTTGCACCATGAGGCCTGCATGCCTTGTCACATTGCTCTTGCATCAGTAGCAAAGCTGAGAGTAGTCATAGATCATTGAAGAGAACCAAAGAAATGCTGTACTCACTACAGTAAACTTTAAGAAACCCTTTCACTTAAGTAATAATAACATCTTATGGATGTTCTTCATACACTTGAGAAACTGTAACTATTTGACCCATTCAAACAGTCAAATTCATTCCACTCAATTACAAAAGGCTGGAACCATCGACCAATTACCCTTCCTGAAACGTCGAGATGAATGATATTTTGTCACAAAGTAAATGTTTTGATTTGGATCGGTTCATGAACATCAATACACCCCGAAAAGGTGAGCTTCAGTACATGCAGAAAAATTATCAAGTCGTAAGAGTCTTAAGCCATGTAAACTTTATAGATTGATCATTGACATTTCAGTGCAATTTATCGTTTGAATTCGAACATTATGAGCCAGACTCAATAAACTGAGGAAAAAACTGTGAAAGCAGGATGACACTGCATCATAAGAACGTCCGTATATGCATTGGCTGTATACAAGGTCGCTATAATCACTACCTAACATTTGAATGATCTGTGCATTTTAAACCTTTTCTAAATCAGCCACTGCACTGGCAAAAGCAGCTTGCAAAGACGTCGCCGACGCTTCAACGGCAAGCTCAGAGATATCATGCGCAGATGCCGAAGCTATCAAATAAATGAACGACTGAGCAATAAGTATAAATTAACGAGAATACGCACGGTATAAATCTGCGGCAATTGTATTGGTTGGATTGCTTCCACCTGTGTGTAATCCCGAGTCTGAAGTGGTCGTATTACCAGTCGTGGATACCGCTATTGGTTACGGATGAGACTACAGCTCCCAAAAGAAAACAACCATGCCTACCAATAGTGATATATCCCAATAAACCATCACTATAGTTTCCTCCCAGCTGGACGATCTCGACCACGGGATACCACCCCGTGGTGTTCGATTGAGGATAAACTTGGTCGTGGTCATTCGAAGGCCGTTGAGCTTGTGAGTGACCGGTGTACGGAGATGTGTTATGGATAGCGTAGGTCAAATCTTCGTCGAAGAACAGCTGTCCGACATGGACCTGCTCTCCTCCAATCAGCGTCCCGTTATCTGCGAGTGTTGCGTCTATATGAGCAATCACATGTACATGGACAGCTCTCGGGCTATACCAGCCGGGGAAAATAGTAAGGAACTCCGCTATAGAACCACTATTAGAAACTGAGAATGACGAGTGGATGGCACGGAGACCCACCGATCCCATTCTCATCTGAGACCTGCCATCCCCGGAGGAAAATCAAATCATCCGTAGTCCCGTCGTCTTTCGTTGGGAGGGTGTATTGCATAGTGTCCGGGTCAATACCCGTGTATGATGAGTAATACCCCGTCGAGTTGCAGTGCCAGAATTCGAGGAATACCCCAGGGAGAGGCTGACACGTATCAATGTCGATGATACCAATGTCCATCCATAGCGGCACGCCAGGCTCTATGTCCAAAGTTCAGAATCCTAAACAATAGGTATCAAGGGAGAAATATTTACCTCCATCACGAATATCCCGACGATACAGCTCTCCATCGATATGATACGGCCCAGACGTAACTTCGGGATTAATGACACAGGTGTTATTCGCCAATCTAACAATAATCATCAAGAAACATCGAACGAAGAAAATGAGCAGGTACTCAGTAAAAATCGCCCTCTGCTCCAGCGTTGAGCGTTTCGCTATACTGTACTCGCCATGCATAAGATCCATGCGCTTCGACAAATTCAGAGAACGCTTCGCCTTGGTCTCTCTCAGGGACCGAGCACAGTGGGATAAGTCTTTAGCCTCTTGGCGCTTATGTTGGTGCGTACCATGAACAGTGGCGAATACGGATAGGACAAGAACAGTGAGGGATATCCACATCATTTTCTGGGGAACGATAGAGCATTTCGCATTTGGTTATGTATCGTCCATGGCGAAATCACGGATGATTGAGTTTACGAAGCGCAGCAAGAGCAACGTGGTCTGTATTGCAACGCATGTCATTGGTCCTTTAGCGGTATTTCTGTTCGATTATGATCATACGGTGCCAGAGCCATTTGTTAGCAGCAGGAGAACATGGCAGAATGAAACAGCAGATTTAAATGCTAACCAAACAGGACGTGTTGAGATGGGATCCTTTTTTTCATCTAGAATGAACGGTTCAATTTCAGTACATCGAGCCAACCCTCGAAAAAAATTTCTCGCAGTCGAATCGTTCTTCTACGCGGACTCTTTGAAAGGGGATGATATTCAACCAATTACGATCCTCGAATATCAAGGAGGAACATCGGGATATAAGAGAGATCAAAGCACAGCAAGCGCCCTGCAGAAATGAAGAAAAAAGCGAGAGGTCGGACAAAGACTAGCTTGGCAGTCTATCGGCCTCTTTCTCAAATTTTACGAGTATTCGGATGATGTAATAAAGTTAGATGGTCCGGGTATACCAGATGCAGTAGTCAGTGCCAAATTGAAAATTCCTTAGGAATAACCAAGCGCGGTGAATGTTCTGATAGGATTATTGTGCGCAAGGGGCACAATTCAGAGCAGGCAGCAAAGCGAAAGTTCGCATTCATCAGGACGAGCATACCCGCCCCTTGAATTCAGATGTTGAGAGCAAGCATGGTAGAGGAATCGGTACCTAGTACCTGAGACAGAATAGCGCAATAATCCGAAGCTGCACCTCTATGGTGAGTGGAAAAGGACAGGAGACGCTGTTACGATACGAGCGAAAGAATGAGCGTTTCGGCAATGGCCGGTCCGGCAGACTCCCGATCCAGTCTCACATGACATTATCAACCCGACAGATCGCGAGTCACAACAAACAATGCCCACTTTTCTTCGCCCTTTCCTCTAAGCTACGGAACACTGGAAAGGAAATCTATCAAAGAAAGTTTCCCCCGGCTCCTTCAATAACAAGAACGAGGTAACTCTATGTTCTGATGTCAGTATTCTGTATCTAAACACCATGAAGATCGAAACGCCGATGCTTGCCTTATTTTCCCACGCAAGATCAAACCATTCCGTTCTTTTATTATTTCGAAACGCTGTGCCGATATCACTACATTCATTCCATCCTTTCACTGCCATTACGAACCCTGTCTTCAAAACGTCACGTGAACAGTCAATTTCATCTCAGGGGGAAAATGAACATGACGTGGCCCTTCCGGAGCTTTGGACGCTCAATAGAAATGCTCTTCTTCCATCAGATTTTCGCGATATGTCTCACCAGAACAGCTAACGAGATATCATGGCGAAAATATCTCTTAGGCTTGGGATCCACAAATGCGGTCTTGGGCTCGTTTCGCTGAAAATTGCACAGGGTTTCTTTATTACTGGACTTATCCAGACCTTCCGCCGACATCAATCCAGATTAGGTTTCGTCTCATTTCCACCGGCAATCTCACCTAATTCGACAAGGGATCAGACCTTCTCAGCTTCGACGGAAAACCTTGGCCATACCCGCTGTCCGCCTGTGTATCGACGAGCAAGGATGGCAGCATCTTCGTTTCGCTGCTCGGAAGGATAAACTCGTTGACGACTCCATCGTCAAATTCAAACGTTTCCATGTGTTGCAGCGATTGGGACTAAATAAAGCCTCGGTATTGCTCAATTCTATAGACGATGCATTTCTCGTCTCTTTTCCAAAGCGAACGGTGAACATTCACTTCAGGGAGAAATGTCGCATGAAGATGATTGTGGAAGAGATGCCCTGGGTCGAGAGACTGGCTGGACCTGGTGACGAGGTTCGTGGATCTCCTTTCTTATGCTTCACGCGTTTAATTTGCGGTAATGTCAGCGCACGTTCGACTTCGTGGGTCTGAGGATGGAAAAAACTGACCACTTGGAGCGTTGGCACGGTCTGGTTCCTCCGAAATCACGTGTTGCATTGCCGTAGATTCTCATTTGTTCGTAACCGCAACCGAGACTACCACTAGCCATTCCCGATTCCCTCTCTTGGACCTAGCGATACGGTTCCACCACATCTTTGGGTTATCCGTATTTTTACAGACAAGGGCGAGCATGATTTTGGATCGACTGTAAAAAGGTGTATGGCATAACCAAATTCAAAGAATAGCATCTTAAGAATGGAGAGACCTCATAATTACGAGGTAAGATTCAAACAGCTTTTTTCTCGCCTATGGCTGAAATATTTTATATAACCTTCGACTCAGAGCCTCCCCTACCTTAGAATTATTTCTACGTTACACTGGCAGCAAAATAACGCTCATAAGATATCATCTTCTGTTTTTAATGAACGACGTCTTCGTTCCACACCACTCCGCAGCCATCATAGCAGCCATCTCAGGGATGTCGTGTTATATCAAAGAAAGGAGAGCACATTTCCTATTCAAAAATTGAGTTATGACGTCCGCCGTCACTTCGAGGAGACACTCATTATACCTTCCTTCGAGTACGGCGTGGGGATTGAGTAAACCTCCGGTTCTGCCCCTTCAACAGTCTCACATGGCTCGAGGATACACTGGGCACGCTCATGTTTCGTCTGCCGTCTAAATTTCTATTCCTTTGCAAAATGACGCGATGTCAAGGACATTACTACTCGATCTGTATGAGATTACAAGAGAGATTTATCTTCGAGTCCGGCCACTGCAAACAATATACTGCTGTCCTATTCTACCCCTGCTTTAGAAGTTCATCAGTTTACACGTTCTACAACAGGTTTCTGCCACCCACCAAATTAAGCCGGGCCAGCAGTCGGTACACTGAAATCATGACGTAAATCTGAACCTTTTCCCTCGGAGTAGGCTTCATTCTCATATCTGATGCAACTACCATCAGTATCATCGACGTCTTCCTCGACATCTTCGCAATCTTCGATTTCCACAAACGTCACCGTCTTCGACCCATTCTCCTCCGCCTCCTCGGCAGATTTGTCCGATAATATTTCCTTTAACGTGTGCCATTTCTCGTCCAGTACAGATTGCTTCACGGGCTCCCACCCATCATCAGGACCACAAAACGCATCGCCAGAATCGTGCACATCCATATCTCGTGCCGGAAACTCCAGTGCTCTAGCAATGGTAATCATCATCCTCTCTTCGATTCCTCTACAAGAGTCGCGATGTCTCGTCCATACATCAACGTCATAGTCTTCTTCGAAATTAATAATGCCAAGGCATCCAGAGCAGCGCGTGCTCCTTTCCAGGAGACTCGGCTTCCGGAGCCACTCCTCTTTGTCCAGGAAAAGCTTGCCCATGACGATGTGGCCTCCTTGACCATTTATGTATACTGTGGACATTCGACGCGTTCTTTCCCAGCGAGAGGGAATCATGCAGCACAACAAAGCCACACACTCAATACCAATGTTATCAAATGAACTTTAGGCAATACAATACACGGTTACACAACACATTCTCCGTCAAAAATCACAACATCTAGCCCTTCGTCTACGTACTTCCCTAACGTCCGACGGACAACCTCAGAGTAATATGGGTCTCCCCATCCGTACTTCACATGCATCTCCAAGCGCCGTAAGCGCCCTCCATTCCACCGCGACTCTATCATGGGCCCAAACGGTTCGTGAGTGAAGGACTGGCCCCCGCACTTCGACGTCACGTCGGTGATACGCAACTCGACCAGGTTCGGCACCAGGTCCCTGCCGCCATCCTTCCCCACTCGAAGGGAGACGAATGTCTCGCATGCTGCCCAGCTCTCCACCATGATGCTCAACTGTGTCAGGTTCGATGATATCGCCGCGATGGAGCACAGACAGACGGTGAAATTTAACGACAGTGACCGAAGCGGACACTGGGACCGTTCGATCATATTCACGACGCTGCGAATGTCTGAGGAAGAGTAGGGCTGAGCGCCGGAATGGGCTCCAAGCACGAGGTATTTGAGATTGGGGAAAAGCAGGCTATTTGAGATCTCCTGTACTGGTACGGATCGAAAGTGTAAACGGCAGATATTCGGAACGGTGAGCGTTCCACAGCTGGGATGACCGGACAGGAATTTGGAGGATGAGATGGTAAGTGCTTCCAAGCCTTTGGCTTCGTTAAGGATGTTAAAAAGGTGTTCTGGGGTCTGTATTACACCGTCAAGTGAGGAAAGCCTGCTTAATGGCAGGTCGACAGAGGACAATGGTATCGCTGTCAATGATACAGCGCGAAGCTGCGGGGAATGCATCAGAAGATCTCTCGTTCCCAAAGGCACGACTCTGGGATCCAAGGTGACATTTATTGTCCGTAACATAGGAAGAGGCCCCAATCGATCAAAGATGTGATAGGAAAGGCGCGGTATGTGGAATTCTACCACGGACCAACGAGACAAGTGAGAAATTAGGAGATCTAGTATGGAGAATAGGAATGGAGAGATCGGAGAGGACTGATTGTCATAAGATGCCGAGATCGTGAGAGGGGATCGTTGAGAGCGTGAGAGGGAAGTGTGGAGCATGGATACAGACTGCGGACGTAGTTCTGCACCAGCCCGAATATCAATGAATATTCTAGACCACAGCGTTGGGACGGAGAGGTATACCGATCTCCAGGAGTAGCAGACGAGACCGAGGATCCATGGGGTAGAGTTTGGGTCGATAGTATCAACGGGAAGGAGCTGGAAGATGTGTATAAGCACATCGAGAGGGAGACGCCGTATCGGAGCGAAAAGTGAATGATACATCCGCAGGTTATGATTAACCCTATTCTTGTGCTTTTGGAGACCCCTTATTGCGAGATCGAATGCTGCGACATGACTCTCCAATTTGTGAATGTCCTGTCTAATTTTTGACAGGGAGATGTTGTCGAGGTCGAACGGGGATCGTCCAGAGCGAAGGAGTTGGATGATGGTGTCGGCGGGAAAGAAATCTGGATCTCTTTCAGTCGGTCTGGCGTTTTGACAAAGTCGGCCACTGGGATAGGTGGTAAAGGATGGCATGACCACGATCTAAGAGTAATTCAATAAGCGCAGATGCAACTGGAAGAATCGATGATCCACACCGTTCTGAAGACACCTGGAATGACATATACATTGAACGTTAATGGTCGAGATATAAAGGTACGTGATTAAAAATGCCGGAAGCACATTCACTGTCCTCGAGATTTAAGTTCAACACGGGTGGTCGACATGTAATAAAAGTAGTAAAAAACGCCCACAGAATATTTGGACTCTTCAAGGTGCCTGGGAACCTGAGAATCAACATCAGAAGTGTCCTCCTTCACAATTAAACACATCCGAAATATCACAAGAACTTCGGCAGCTTCAAGGGTCGAGACCGGAGGCGTGTCTGAGCCATCAGTTCAATGTAGGGATGTACATGGATTCCACGGAAATGAGTCTGCCACACGAAAACACCAGGTATCGGGGGTCTGACGGATAAGAACCATCTAATGGCACGTAGGTGAAAAATAGGAAGGCACTTCTGAGTCGACGCCATGTCCTGAAGTTTTTAAGCTCTGGAGTGAGATGGTCGACCAGGAACGGCACCGAGATCGCGTCAAGCACTACGTGGAACGCAAATCATCCTTGCGATGTACGGCGCAGGAATATTCGTAGAATGTGCCCAGTGCCTGGGAAAAGCCAAGAACCCGACAAAGTCACGAACCGTGAGTTGATCAGCCGGATTACGTGCACAACGCCGGTTTTTCCTCGGTGTTCTGGAGGTCAGTAAGCGATGATCGAAGACATCGTGACTATATGGCCGGTAATATACTAACCATTAGGGCCAAGAAAACGTCCGGTTCCTTCCATGGAAATGCTCGTAGCGGAAGAAATTATGCTGATGGGGACAAAGATAGTTTGGGATGCCACAAGAGCAGAGGTTTGGTGGTGATTTACATATTTAAAGAAACAATAAATTGATGGGAAAGGATGTCGAGATTGAACTGCTTACAGAAGGTACCATAAGCCGTAATTCGCGTTCACAGATACACAAATATAGTTTCCGAACTTATGCCAGCCACGCAGACCTTGAGGGGGCCTATGCATGCCATGAAATTTCGTCCAACAGAAGGAACACAAACTCTGTGTGTGTTGCGCCGAAGAAGCAGTTGCGGTCGGCCGAATTAAACTTTCTTAGTCGAGAAATGCATAGATCAAACGTAGATAACAAAAAAGCAGTGAACAGGATCCAGGGAGAGGATGCAGTAGGCGGAGCTTTGAGGAGAAAGTACACTTTCTGTTTGCGAAACAGATCCAGCAATATCGGTTGTTGACATGGAGATACCATGAGACATCGGCTAAAAACAAGTATGGGGTCTGTGTTTCTTACTCAAAGAACTCTGCAAAAATGGTTGCGGTATGTGAGCGCTGTGGAACAAGGGTTCGATCCGCCTATGTTCAATTCGCCTGGCATCTAGGCTCAGAATCTGTTTTGCTCAGTTGTAACCAGCTTAACAAAAGAATTTACAGTATTAAGTGAGTCGCCGGAATACGAAGTAGCATAAAAGCTTCAATAAACCTGCAATATTATAAACCGATGTAATGAGAAATAGACGAAACCCTCATGACAGCATCTATCCTAGCCATTCTTTGGCAAGAGCAATAGGAGCTGCGAGCACCATGGCCAATGTGACGCAAGCCAGTAATATCTCCTTTATTCCCGCCTTGAGTGTTTCGAATTCCGGAATACTCATCTCAGCCTTAGCATTGACATGTTCTCCCTATCAGACACGTCACGCATTTCTATCAAGCAGCGCCTACGCACAGGATTCATTAAATCGGCCCTCTTCGACTCCAGGGCTGATAATCTCGTCAATCTCTTTCTCTATGAGAGATGAGCCAAGTGAACATGGACACGAAACTATACCTCACCTGGATGCATCGCAGTAAGGAATGAAAGAACGCTTACGCACTGCCAATGGTGCATTATGCCAGGTAGATTGCCGCCTACTCCTACTCGGGGTCCGGTCCTGGTGTCATTAGCTGCTTCAGTAGATGAAAAACGAAAACAGTCAGCTAAAATGATGCATCTGAGCTAAAGAAATTGTGGTAAATCTGTTCAAAATTCATTACAGATAGATCGATCCATTGAAATAGAAGGAACGGTCTAAGGGGACCCCATTTTAGGAGACAAGAGCCTAGAACGCCATGAAAAGGTCCCGCAGCCCAACAGGTCCTTACCTCGTTCTCACAGGGCTATGCCAAACAAAGCATGCCATTAAGGGGAAAAAACTTGACTAGATGTTGCGAAATGCAATAAGAGAATAGATCACCATCACGACTTCACCAGCCCGGTAGGAACACGAATATCGACGAATCTGTTCACCTGGAAGCACATCTTCTTTCTTTGGTCTTTATGCGCAGGCTTAAAGAACCTGCGGTACTTCTCAAGAATTTCCGCAGGCGTTCCCGAACCCGTATCTGAGGAGGCGCTCCAATCTTCGTCCATCCCCAAGGGCGAGTCGGGAGAGAAATGATACTTTGCTCGGGAACGTACCATGTCAGCATCTGGGATATTGAAGATTAACAAAAAGCGAGAGGATGAGAGCAAAGAAACTTACAATAAACAGGCGCTGGGGTAGATACCGCTCGTGTTGACCTGGCGTATACGTAGCATAGAGCGTTTGTGAGCGTTTGAAGGTTGTCAGGACTGGGAGAAGGGAGCGTCAGTCGTGGATTACGGACTTAAGAGGATTTCGGACATACATCATTTAATTCTCCTGAATCGACCATGGAATAATGAGTCTAAGCGCCAAAGCCATCGGCCCGATGGGCCGAAGCCCACTTGAAGTCAACGCCCATCGCAAAATCTTGGCCTTCACTTTTCTGCCACCAGTAACACAGACTCCGTATACATTTCGATGCTGCGTACTCAAAACGCTCTGTTTGCATATCTTTATAAGGAGGCTTTTCGAGTATCCGATACGGAGAACCCATATCTGTAACGTATTATCAGCACCGTAGCTCCATGTGAATGGCCGATATTCCAGCATATGGTTCGCAGATGGAAGGCAAGACTGCGGTCGATGTTTTGCCTATTGCACCCTCCCCCCTCACTATGTTGGCTGCCGGCAGATATTTTACAGTCTGTTTTTTAAGACGGTCAGATCCACGGTCGATTACCCAGGACGATTACCACCGCTAACTACTACTATTCGCCGCGACATATTCTCAACACTCATGTTATTGGCATGCCCAGGCGAGCTTCTCGTAGGCTCTTCATTTTCCACGATGGGTCTGCATCCGTGAATGCAAAGCGCGATCTATTGATGTGCCACCTTCGGGTATCTATGGGATCAGTATCAGTACTGATGTAAACGATTCCATCTCTACGCCTCCCATGCTAACAATTCACTTCGTTCTAAATGCGTAGATGACTGCCAATTCTCTGCATCATCAATAAATACTCCTACACCAGCAGTGTCCCCGTCTGAAGATTTACACCCGCCACGACGGTTTCTCAGAAAGACGCCAAGGTCCTATTGGCCCTAATGGAATATTACTGGTCGTAAAATTACGATATCGCTAACTCACCTGCATTCGGTTCTTTTGACCTTCTAAAACGCCGAGGAAGAACCAGCGCAGCACACAGAACACCCGGTTCATCCAACCATATATTTGCCGGATTCTTTCTTTCTCTTGGCTTTCCTAAGGCACAGAGCTCACTGCCACCTCCCTGCACCTGAAATATTTGTCGCAAGGGTGATTTGCATTCCACGTGGTGACGTCGTCTCGGTACCGTCCTAGGTCAAACAAATATCCTTTCCCCTTAATACTAGAGACAGTTCTCCGAACTCTGTCCTTATTCCTATGGTTCTTGACCTTGAAAGAGAACATTGTCTTCACGAAGCTGAGAGCGGCCTCACTCCGTGAAATCCATGTTTATTGATGCCCCTCCGTTGAACGGAAGGCTCCGACTCGCCTCGACCTCTGAAGCTGCCGATCCTGCCCCACGTCGGACGTTAGAAGGAGATGACCTGACTGTGGCGTCGAAAATTGAATTTTCTGATCTCAGGCACGTAGAAAACGGTGAATGTGCTTCCGGCATTTTTAATCACGTACCTTTATATCTCGACCATTAACGTTCAATGTATATGTCATTCCAGGTGTCTTCAGAACGGTGTGGATCATCGATTCTTCCAGTTGCATCTGCGCTTATTGAATTACTCTTAGATCGTGGTCATGCCATCCTTTACCACCTATCCCAGTGGCCGACTTTGTCAAAACGCCAGACCGACTGAAAGAGATCCAGATTTCTTTCCCGCCGACACCATCATCCAACTCCTTCGCTCTGGACGATCCCCGTTCGACCTCGACAACATCTCCCTGTCAAAAATTAGACAGGACATTCACAAATTGGAGAGTCATGTCGCAGCATTCGATCTCGCAATAAGGGGTCTCCAAAAGCACAAGAATAGGGTTAATCATAACCTGCGGATGTATCATTCACTTTTCGCTCCGATACGGCGTCTCCCTCTCGATGTGCTTATACACATCTTCCAGCTCCTTCCCGTTGATACTATCGACCCAAACTCTACCCCATGGATCCTCGGTCTCGTCTGCTACTCCTGGAGATCGGTATACCTCTCCGTCCCAACGCTGTGGTCTAGAATATTCATTGATATTCGGGCTGGTGCAGAACTACGTCCGCAGTCTGTATCCATGCTCCACACTTCCCTCTCACGCTCTCAACGATCCCCTCTCACGATCTCGGCATCTTATGACAATCAGTCCTCTCCGATCTCTCCATTCCTATTCTCCATACTAGATCTCCTAATTTCTCACTTGTCTCGTTGGTCCGTGGTAGAATTCCACATACCGCGCCTTTCCTATCACATCTTTGATCGATTGGGGCCTCTTCCTATGTTACGGACAATAAATGTCACCTTGGATCCCAGAGTCGTGCCTTTGGGAACGAGAGATCTTCTGATGCATTCCCCGCAGCTTCGCGCTGTATCATTGACAGCGATACCATTGTCCTCTGTCGACCTGCCATTAAGCAGGCTTTCCTCACTTGACGGTGTAATACAGACCCCAGAACACCTTTTTAACATCCTTAACGAAGCCAAAGGCTTGGAAGCACTTACCATCTCATCCTCCAAATTCCTGTCCGGTCATCCCAGCTGTGGAACGCTCACCGTTCCGAATATCTGCCGTTTACACTTTCGATCCGTACCAGTACAGGAGATCTCAAATAGCCTGCTTTTCCCCAATCTCAAATACCTCGTGCTTGGAGCCCATTCCGGCGCTCAGCCCTACTCTTCCTCAGACATTCGCAGCGTCGTGAATATGATCGAACGGTCCCAGTGTCCGCTTCGGTCACTGTCGTTAAATTTCACCGTCTGTCTGTGCTCCATCGCGGCGATATCATCGAACCTGACACAGTTGAGCATCATGGTGGAGAGCTGGGCAGCATGCGAGACATTCGTCTCCCTTCGAGTGGGGAAGGATGGCGGCAGGGACCTGGTGCCGAACCTGGTCGAGTTGCGTATCACCGACGTGACGTCGAAGTGCGGGGGCCAGTCCTTCACTCACGAACCGTTTGGGCCCATGATAGAGTCGCGGTGGAATGGAGGGCGCTTACGGCGCTTGGAGATGCATGTGAAGTACGGATGGGGAGACCCATATTACTCTGAGGTTGTCCGTCGGACGTTAGGGAAGTACGTAGACGAAGGGCTAGATGTTGTGATTTTTGACGGAGAATGTGTTGTGTAACCGTGTATTGTATTGCCTAAAGTTCATTTGATAACATTGGTATTGAGTGTGTGGCTTTGTTGTGCTGCATGATTCCCTCTCGCTGGGAAAGAACGCGTCGAATGTCCACAGTATACATAAATGGTCAAGGAGGCCACATCGTCATGGGCAAGCTTTTCCTGGACAAAGAGGAGTGGCTCCGGAAGCCGAGTCTCCTGGAAAGGAGCACGCGCTGCTCTGGATGCCTTGGCATTATTAATTTCGAAGAAGACTATGACGTTGATGTATGGACGAGACATCGCGACTCTTGTAGAGGAATCGAAGAGAGGATGATGATTACCATTGCTAGAGCACTGGAGTTTCCGGCACGAGATATGGATGAGTATGATATGCTCCACCGTCAATGGTTGTGGACCGGACGTGAAGGGGCATGGCTCGGAGACGATAACGCTTGGGAAAATCAAAGACGTTGGGAGACGTCCATAATACCGATGGTATCTCCATCGCAAGGGAAACTGAATATCACTCTAAGGGAGAAGTCTCAGTTGCGGTGTTGATGTGGCGCCATAGGGTCGTTCTGTGCATTGGCTGCTGGGCCTTGTTTAGTCTGGTGAATGGTAGAAACTTTCTTTTACCACATGAGGTCTGATAGACTCCAAAAATAGGTGTAGAATATGACAATGAGAGTTAGTAGAATGTGTATATTCATTCCAGTGGCCGGACACGCCAACGAATCTCCATTGTAATATCATATAGATCGGCGATTCATGTTGTTGATCTTGCCTCTTTGGCAAGAGAATATACATTTTGGCAACAGGCGGCGAATGACCGAACAAAGTGCATACTCACACCCGTTGTGAGTGACGATCGCGCCGAACTGAAAGGGAGCGTTGGCTTAATCCATACTCTTATTTATCCTCGTACCGTTACTATGCTTGCGTAGTGGCGGGACGAAGAGAAAAGAGGCGTTTACTAACGGAAAATGATGTATACTGTGACATCCGTCAGCGATGGATGTAACGTAGCAAATAATTCAACGCCAGGGGAGGCTCTGAGTAGAAGGTTCTACAAAAGAATTCAGCTATAAGCGAGGAAAAAGCTGCTTGAATCTTACCTCGTAATCATGAGGTCTTGCCATTATTAAGATACCATTCTTTGAATTTAGCTAAGCCATACACACTTTTACAGTCGATTCTAGGCAGTCGGGAATCAAGCTCGCCCTTGTCGGTAAAAAGACGTATAACCTGAAGATGTGGTCGGTTTTTTCCATTATCAGACACGCCAAGTCGAACATGCGCTGACACTACCGCAAATTAAACGCGTGAAGTATAAGAAAGGAGATTCACGAACCTCGTTCACCAGGTCCAGCCAGTCTCTCGACCCAGGGCATCTCTTGCAAAACCATCTTCATGCGACATCGCTCCCCAAGGTGGATGTCCACCGTTCGCTTTGGAAGAGAGATGGGAAATGCGTCGTCAATAGAATGGAGCAATATCGACGCTTTATTTAGATTCAATCGCTGAAACATACCGAAATGTTTCGATTTGATGGTGGAGTCGTCAACGAGTCTATCCTTCTGTAGTAGCGAAAGGAACATCCCCGCATGTTCGCCCGTCAATACACAGGCGGATAGCGGATATTGCCAAGGTTTGCCGTCAGGGCAGAGAAGGTCTGATCCGTTGTCGAATTCAGCAGGATTGCCGGTGGAAATGAGACGAAACCTAATCTGGCCTGATGTCGGTGGAAGGTCTGGATGAGTCCAGTAATAAAGAAACCCTTTGCAATTTTTAGGGAAACTAGCGTAATTCCCCAATTGTGGGTCTGGAGCGTAAAAGATATTTTTGCCTTCATATGTCGTTACGTATTTCCGGTGGGACATATCGCGAAAATCTGACGGAAGAAGAGTATTTCTAGTGAGCGTCGAGGGCCCTGGAAGGGTTACGGTGTATTCCTTTTCCTCCTGAGATGCAGTTGACATTTCACGCGAAGTTTTGAAGACGGGATCCCGAATGGGAGGGAGAGCATGGAATGAACGTAGAGATATCGGGGCAATGTTTGGAAATAACAAAAGAACGGAATGGTACGATCTTGCACGGGAAAATAAGGCAAGCATCTTCATGGTGTTTAGGTACAGAATATTGACATCAGAACATACACTTACCTCGTTCTTGTATTGAAGGAGTAGGGGAAACTTTTTTCAATAGATTCCTTCTCCACGTGTTCGGCAACTTAGAGGGAAGAGCGAAGAAAAACGGCCACTATTTGATTCTGTTTGTCGTGACTCGGCGCGATCTGGCGGATGATGACACGTGATACAAGAGCGGCTGTTGCCGAAAAGCTCATTCTTTCGCTATGGTACCAGCATCTCCTGTTCTTTTAGCTTCTGATTCTTGTCTTATTCTATCTCCGGTAGGTAGTTAATCTACCATGCTTGCTTTCAGCATTCAAACTCAAGGGGGAGAAGAGAGGGTATACTCATCCTGATGAATGTGAACCTTTGCTTTCCTGCCTACTCTGAATTGTGCCCCTTGCATAAAATAAATCCTGTCAGAATATTAACCATACCTGTTTATTCCCATCATTGTAAGAGTGTCACATGTTTACTGATAAGCTTTACAATTCTTGAGAAGGCTCACCTTGAGGAATTTTCAGTTTGCACTGACTACTGCATCTGATATACCCTGGTGTTATCCAATGTTCTTTACATCAGCTGAATACTCATACAATTCGAGACAAAGGGCCAATACACTGCCAAGCTAGTCTTTGTCTGACCTCTCGCTTTTTCCCTCATTTCTGCAGGGCAGCTTGATCTCTTATATCCTAAAGTTCTCTCTTTTTGATATTCAAGGATCACAACTGGCTGCATATCACCATGGACATAGAGAAATTCAGAGACCGCTTTGCCTTGGTTTCCATAAGGGATATCATCTCAATGTGGGGGGCAATCTGCCCATGGCATAGTTTAATGTTGTCATTGATGAGATCCACCAGACTCAAGCAGATCCTGAGGAGCACAGTAGACTTTTTGAGATGTTAGCTGTATGGATGCTTTGATCATTGATGAGGTACATCAGACTCAGATTAACAACAATGTGTCCATTCATGTGTATGGCTGACTACAGGGTGGCAGAGGTAAGCTAGTATGGTTGGTTTCAGTTGAATAATTGAACGAAGTTGAAATAGGAGATGGAAATGACTTCACACTTCATGAAAGAAATAGTGCTGGAGTATATGTTCTTGTTGTTTCCATCAGATGGTCAAATGAAGAGAAAAGACCTTATATGAGGTCAGTTTAAATGCCAAACTGGAGGCAAAGGAATAAGCATACTAGCTATAATTGTCATGCAAATTTGTGAGGTAGAAGCAAATGCAAGAGGACATAAAATGATACTAGCTTGCAAACAAAGGCTTTTTCTGTAAAGTCTCACCTAGAAATACTGTTAGCTTATGAGAGAAATAGAAGGAAAAGGCATATTTCACTTGTCCACCTCTGACCTATGCTTCACCAATGGAACTTCTCAATCAATAACTGTTATGATTTTTCTGCATTTTCCTTACTTTTAACCCCTATCTATGCTTAAGTCAGGGTGCTAACAACAAGTGCTTAGGACTGTGGGACAGAGCTTAGTCATCACAAATAGCTGAGTCCATCATTGTCTTTCAATGCAACAACATTGCCTGATGATGCACAATGACCCTTTTATATATGGTAATGACACTCTAGGACAACAGACATAAGAGATCCAGGAATACACAATAAGTAGTAGTATTATTAGCACTCTCTGTACAGTATTTAAGACTGTTTGCTCTTGCTGAAAAACCCCAGCTTCAAGCTAAA